CGCTGCTTAGTGTTCTCTGTCCCTGGCAACGCTGGCTCTGTGGATACAGAGCAAAGGTGGATTTCTAACCAGAGATCTACGAGCAATACGATTATCTGTGTAACAATTTTTAAAATACTTGCATTAATTTACTTTCAGAAATTATTTCCCAGGTTCCAGGCTGTATCAGTAGTAGCAAAGTTTTATTAGAGACAAGCTTTGGCAGTTGCCAGACCACGGAGCCCAGCGCAGTCTCGCCCGCGCGAGGAGCTGGGCACAGGCAGTGGAGGTGCAGCCAGTGGCAGCGTGGGCAGCAGGGGGGCAGCAGCTCCGTGGGGTCCCTTCCGACCTGGAACTTCCAGGGCGCTTTTGCCTTGCTTTTTCCAAACGGTTTGTTCTTGGAGAGCCCTCCTCAGGGGGACGTGCGTGGCTGGCAGGGAAGCTCCCTTGCCTGCAGTGACCTGCCGAGGGAGAGCAGGAGATATTCCTTTGTGGGGGGTTCTCTGACATCCCCCGGCTCCTGTACTGACCTGTCCTTTCCCTCTTCCCCCTGGCTTGCTTAATTTTGAGTACTTGTTGAAAGAACTGTGACTGACTCATTCCCCGTGCCAGTTCCTCACGTTTGTGTTGTGCTGAGAGTCTCATTTAAACACATTGACTATTAGTAATCCCCCGTGCCAAGAATATTTTCTATGGATAAGCGTATGCGAGTCCCGTAGCTGCATCCCCCCACTGCTTTCCACCACAGCCCAATTAATCCCTGTGCTCTACCACCAAGGGTCACAGCCATGATCCTGCTCATCTGACTCCTTGCACTGCCTCTCTCTGGGAAAAAGAAACCACCTCCAACCCCTCTTCACCACCCAGAAAAGCCTGGAGACCTCGCATCCTCCTCTTCCCCATGCACAGAGCAGGACTAAAGCAACCCCCGGTCCCACTCAGGCTTCCAGAGGACACCTCACCTTGCACATCCCCACGCAGAGCACGCCGGCTCAGGGCAGGCACGGCTGGCACAGGCTGGCCTTGAGTCCACCACTC